ATTCTCTCGACGGTCGAATTTTCATAAAGGAGCTGATATTGCAGAGTAAAAAATTGAAGAAAGGCTTTTCACGTTATTTAATCAGGACAAAATTAACATAAGGTTCTTAGGTGATATTTAATGTTAATAATAATATATATATATATGTATCAGCTTTAATGCGTCTCCTGTCCTCGGCTCGGCATAACAGTTTTCCGTCGTGACGTTGAACTCGCGGCCGCGTCTAACCGGGTAACGGTAATCCGCTTACGGGACGGTTTACACCGCAGAGGAGCGGAAAGACGGCTTCTGTTTACTAAATCGCGACCGGCCACTCCTGGTGCCCTGCAACGCTCCGTAGTCGATCCGTTAACTCTTTGGCTCTTAAGAGCGCCTAATGACGTTCGACGTTTGGTCCAATATTGCGCGCACGGTTAGACGAATTTCGCCCGTATGTCAAAATGGCTCCGTGTTCAAAGGGTTAAGGTGATATGAAAGTGTGATATATATATATATAGTTTNCATATACATATACATATACATAACAAAAAATCAAAATATTATCATAAAACTTTTCTCCAAATTGGGTGCACCAAATTATCTAAAACTTTAACACGTGATTATGAAGGCTCTAAGGGAAGAACGCCCTGCCCGTGAAATTACACTTTTCGAAAAAATCACATGTTTCTTTGCCTCTTGTCCGAGATAAATGCGAAATTAAAAAAAGAAAAAAAATTTTCACGAGCAGCGCGTTATTCCTTAGGGCCTCCATAATCCACGTGTCGAAGTTTCAGATAATTCGGTGCACCCAGTTTGGAGAAGAGTTTTATAAATATATTCACTTTCTGTTGTGTGTATATTACACTTTCATATCACCTTAAAGGTGTCAGGGCCGCCCGCTGGATCGCTTGCAGAAATTACGGAGTGGCGATCGATCCCTACCCCCGATATATCGATACTCGAGCCAGTTTTTATCCACTCCTTCCCCATTCTCGTCTCTCCATTTCTTTTTCTATTTTTTTTTTCGACATGTGACACCCCCGTTAAAGATGAGAACTAGATGACTCCCTCTTCTCCCTCGGAGAGATTTCTCCCCTATCAGGTAGGTCGTTATCACCGGGACGTACCGATCGATCTCATCGAATTGTTAAGGCGATATGAAAGGGTCATTCTATACATATAAAACGCCAAAATATTTCTAAAACTTTTTACTCCAAATTGGGTGCCCCGAATCATTTGAAACGGCATGTGATTATGATTATATTTTGTTGGAAAAAATGAAATTTCACGAGCATCCCGTTCTTCCTTAAGACCTTCGTAATCATATGTGGAAGTTTCAAATGATTCGGTTACACCCAGTTTGGAGAAAAGTTTTATAAATATTCTGACGTTTTGTTATGTAGAATGACCCTTTCATGTTATCTTAATGTTATAAGCAGAGATCGTTCATTTGGGAAGAACGCTATCAAGGTGGAAGTATGAAAACGACAGGTGGAGTATGCCATTTGGTACAATACCCAATACAATTCGACACAGCTGTCAATATAAAAACGAACGTCGGCAACGTAGGCATTTAGAAAAATCTTTATCGACGTCAATCAAGTTCCTCGACGTGTTTCACTTCACCTTAAAGGGCTAACTTGGAAGGAAGGAAGTATCCCCTTCGCTCGCCGAATTCGCGTTCCAGCGGTAGTAGGGTAACCTCGGAAGGAAATTCCCGAGGAATCGGTCGAGTGTGTTTACGTAATCGCCTCGCCCGCTCGCGGCTCGGCGCGCAAACTCCTCGCGACTCGCATCGCCGGAGTCCGCGAGGCGGAAGCCGCCCACTCGGCCGCGAATAATTGCGCCTAACCCCGCGTCTGGCCCTGGCCCGCCTCCAATCTGGATGAACCTCCTCTTCCCTCCCGAAAGTCCCGGATTTTCCGCATTCGCGATATCCGCAAAGAATTCAGAAGTCTCCACATAATCCCATAGGCCGATATATCGGCCTTCGCTGCACTGGCGAAAAGTGCCAGAGCCGATATATCGGCCCGCACCTTGTAGCGCTTTACTATTCGCTTTGCGAGAGATCTCTATCTCAAAATAAATTTATAATACGTCATAAATAGTCTAATTTCATTACGAGAGAATTAAAATAACAATACGACAACACCTATAACAACCTATAACCTACCTATAACAACCTATAACCTATAACAATTATTTGTTTCGGATGAGATAATCCGTCCGGCGCCTACCATGTGCCTTAGAGTTATTTTTTATGTTTCTTGTGCAATATCACTTATTTTGTTAAGAAATATATTGGAAATTTAAAGTATATACTTCGCAATAAACGGTCTATATAAATTTATGATAAAAAGATGACTTTTCCTACGTGCAATTACGTTCTGAAACGGAGAACTCAATTTTTCTTTTTTTTTTATCACATATACCTTTGTTATTTATGTAATTTTCAATTAATATAGAAAAATTAGCGTCACTGTTTTATTCTCTATTTTGTCCTTAATACCCTGCTTTTTGAATTATGTAAATATTGTTTTTCGTTTGGTTTTTATGAGCCTTTTTCCAAATCCCAGTAAAATCGTAAAATTCGGCCGGTTATCTTAGCAACATCGAAAACATCAATGGTGGGTTTTTCTAACGGAGTGAATCGTTATCCCTTTGAACACGGAGCCATTTCGACATATGGGCGAAATTCGTTTAACCGGGCAGGCAATATTGGACCAAACGTCGGACACCTTTAGGCGCTTTTAGTTGCTACTTTGTTTTGGCTCAAAGGATTAACAAATAATTCAATAGAGTTAACGATTTAAAAATGTTAAAATATCTTCAAATATCTGACATTTTCTGCACTCTCTCTCTCGCTGCCCATATTCTTACAATTATTTGTAGTCTTACAAGATGGCTTACAAATATTTGATGTCAATAAGGAAATACATGACATTTATCCGCGCCAGAAACATTCCGAGAATAATTTAGGGTCGAGTAATTAAATCGAGAAGTAGTATATTGAAGATTTTGAACTCCAATCCATAACACATACAATTCTCAATAATATTTTTAACAGGATAAATAATCTAAAAACATGAATGTCGGGTTTTTCTAACGGAGTAAATCTTTGAAAAATAATTCAACATAGTGAACGATTTAAAAATGTGAGGATATCACCCAAAGGTCTAGCATTTCCCGTACACTCGCAATGTTTTTATTTTGGTTCACACAAGTCCTAAGCGGGCAAGGAAAGACGTAGAAAAGTGTCCTCGCTCGAAAGAGTCCCGAGGAGCGGGCTTCCATTAAATCAATTGAATAACCAAATTACGTTTCAGCGTTACCTTCGGATCGTGGGACTAATATAAGTTAATTTAAATCAGCAACGCCGCGACGCATTCCCTATAGAATCGAGAAAAGAAAACATTCCAAAACCCTGGATACCTCTCCAAAGGTAATTCTCCAAATATAAATTTTCCTAATATTTAGACCAACGTCCTCGAGGTCAGTAAATAAACGACGTAGAAGGCGAAAAGCGTGACGTAGCGAGTCCCGATTCGGCGCCACTTTCGAGTCGCTGGAATTCCATTTCTTATCTCTGATAAAAGAATAATACGTAACCCTCGGTGAATAAAACGTAAGAAAAATTCAATTTCTACATTTTTCCCATTAAAAGGGGAATTTGAAAAATGGACGTCGCCGGGACTTCGTCGAGAGGGGAACTTTCTACGTTTTTCGGAGCAGGGTTACGGGTTTTACGAGTTTATTTCGTTGTAATTATGTAGTAGGTTGTAGGCGGTAGGTTAAGACTCACCAATTGCGCCAGCTTGATTATTCCGGGAATGGTCCTGAAGTAGTCGACGTTGAGGGCGAGGCCTCCGAGGACGCCGGGCTGGCCCGGGTCCGACTTGACGGTCGGCGTCTGCCTGGGATTGTTGGCGTTGTGGCTAGAGCCGTCTTGCACCGTGACCACCGTCTCTGCCATCATGTTCCCGCAAAGGGTGGATAATTTAGGGACGAAGGATTAGGACGTAGGAGTCTCGGAGCACACCCCTTTTGCCGCACGCGAACGAAACACTGGAAGAACTGGTACCGTTCCCGCGAGACACCTGTTGACTCGAGCGTCGTGTTGACGGAACGGCGCGCCGCGAGCTAATGACGCGCTTCGCGCTGAGCCGCGACTCGTGCGCCGCGCCGCGCGCCATCTGGCAGCGACGCTGGGAACCCTCTAGCCAAATGCTTAACAGAATCCGTTTTACCCACCATTGACCTAAAAGCTGGCTTCCTTCTACCTGGCACGCAGGATTGAATTGGTATACAGAGATGAGTTGGGAGATTGCTCACGGGCAGGGTCG